CTTGAAATCCATGAACCCATTTATCCACTTCCCTTACTGATCTTCCATCTGAGCAGGATTAACCAGAACCTTTCCCTTGATTTAAAGCAATTCCTTCTCACTGACCACTAAAACCTGTTTTCCCACTGTGCACTGCAGAAAAATCTGGGAATGACCACGGAAAATTCCATGTGTCTGAGCAGATAATTTTGGGGTTTTGCTCCCAAGACTTGGGGTTCCTTCAGGTGTGTCTGAGATGCTGGCTCCACTAAACCGTGGATCAGCATTGGCAGTGCAGGCCAGTGCTGCCCTCCCCACACTCCCACATGTTTCCAGTTGTTCCTCCCAGCAGCACTGGGACTCACAGGACCAGATGGTGAGCCAGGTCAGGGAAAAGATCTTAAATGATCTCCACTCCACAAAAAAAAAAGGTTGTTAGTTTGAAAAATGAGGCTTTGGCATTAACTACAGATGTGAAAAATACCCTCTCCAGAGGGATGGAGCTTGCTAGGGCTGAGCAGTGAGGAGATAAATCACCAGAGCAGCCAGTGAGGAAATTACCGGTGAGGAAATGGAAGAATTGAAATGGGATATGTCTGCTGGATATCCGTGGAGAGGAGAGTGAAAGCCCTGCGAGGCAGCAGGGAACCATCCCCGTGGACTGCTCCTTGGAGCAGGGCCAGCCAATGGCACCAGGGGATGGCAGGAGGCTCCAGGAAAAAAGGGAAAGCTAAGCCAACAGCCTGGATATAGTCATAGAATCACAGAATGCTTTGGGTGGGAAGGGACCTTATAGACCATCTTGCTCCACCTCCTGCCATGGGCAGGGACACCTTCCACTAGCCCACGTTGCTCCAAGCCCTGTCCAACCTGGAACACTTCCAGGGATGGGGCATCTACAATCTCTCTTCCCACCCAAATCAGTCTATGATTCCATGAAATTCCTGTCACTGGAACCACCTAACATGAGTGCCAGTGCACGCTGGTGATGAGTCATGGAAAGACTCAATGCAAAACCCAACCCCAACTTTCAACTGCAGCGGCATGGGGAGGGTTCTGTGTGGGCTAACAAACATCAGAGCAGGACACTAATCACAGGGGTTAATTGCCTCAGCAGTAGCAACCAAAATGGTCATAAATCATAGCACTATAAATGGTTTGGGTCGGAAGGGACCTTAGTCAAGGGCCTTTCTCTGCTCTGAGGCCAAACTATCACAGCTCGCTGTGGGAAGAGTGGATGAACCTCCAGAGGACAACTGTGGTCTTCTAAAGACAGACTGTCATGAAATCATGGAATTATACAATGTTCTGAGTGGGAAGGGACACAGAAGGATCATCAGTCCCACTCCTGGCCCTGCACAGGACATCCCAACAATCCCACCCTGTGCCTGAAAGCATTGTCCAAACACTCCCTGAGCTCTGTCAAGATTGGGGCCATGACCACAGCCCTGGGGAGCTGTTCCAGTGCCCAAACACCCTCTGAGGGAAAAACCTTTCCCTAATATCCAGTCTAGACCGCCCCTGGCACAGCTCCATGCCATTCCCTTGCGTCCTGTCACTGGTCAGAGAACAGAGACTGGTGCTGTCCCTCCTGAGGAAGCTGCAGACAGCTGAGGTCTTTCCTTGCTCTCCTTTTCTTTAGAGAGTAAGCAGAGCTGGGTAGGCTGAATCCAGCCCTAAATGGTAAAATGAAGGCAACATTAAAAATGTAAAAAAAACTGCATAAGAAAATGGAAAAAAACCCATAAAAGCTTAACAGCTGAGGTCAATTATACATGAAGGTTCCTGAAGTGCCCCAAATGAGGAGAGAAGATAAAATACTGGGGAGAAAAATCATGTCTGGCAGGGCTAAAACCACCAGAAAGGAGAGTTTGAAATGGACACAATGATCAGGAACAGAACAAAGCCTGGAGGCAACATCACTGCTGCCTGGGCAGTGGGTGAAATTCTGACCACGGCACGAGGCATTGGTGTCTCTGCTCCCAGTCTGACTCAGAGCACTTCCCCCTTGGAGTTTCTCTCAGCAGACAGGGAAGTACTGACACTAATAATGAGAAAAGGTGTTAAATGTATCTACTAGAAATGATATTTTTAGCTCAGCAGGCTGGGGAGCTTGGAGCTTAAAATAATTACCTGAGTGAGGAGCTGCCTGGTCCAGGGAAGGGAATTTTAATAGATCTTGGAATGCTCAGGACTGGGATGTGGATATTCAAATAGGAAGGTAAGAAGTTAAATAAGGGAAGGCTTCAGGATAACCTAATAGTGACCTTCCAGTGCCTCAGTGGGCTCCAAGAGAGTTGCAGAGGGACTTGGGACAAGGGCCTGGAGGGACAGGACACAGGGAATGGCTTCCCACTGCCAGAGGGCAGGGAGAGATGGGATACTGGGAAGGAATTGTTCCCTGTGAGGGTGGTGAGGCACTGGCACAGGTTGCCCAGAGCAGCTGTGGCTGCTCCATCCCTGGGAGTGTTCCAGGCCAGGTTGGATGGGACTTGGAGCAACCTGGGCTAGTGGAAAGTGTCCCTGCCTGGAATTTACCTGGAATGGGATCAGCTTGAAAATCCCTTCCAGCCCAAACCAGTCTGTGATTCCATGATCTGACCCTGCCATTAATTAACAGAAATGCTGATACAGACCCAACTTACAGGTACTACAGAAGGATCAGAACTGCATGGAAAGGAAATCTTGCCAAATAAAGCTGATCTTGTTGTTTGGATGTATCACATGTTTGGCTTCTAAAGACACTGCACAGATGTAAGAGATTTGCATGGGAGAGGATTTACCCAGGACATCCTCATTAACTAGTTACCACGGTGCTAGATAGATACATCCATGAAGGAGGAGCAGGATGTCTGAAAGGCTTCAAAAGGCACAGAAAGGAAACCAGGGCTGAAGAGCTCAAACTCCTCTTGTGACCCTCTGTACAGTGTTGCTAAAGGTCAGGGAAGAATTCCACGTACCGTTTGTTTTTCCAAAATTGAAAGAAATTATATTAAAAATCTGGGGAAGGCAAAGAAACCAACCATAAAAGGACTGGAGTAGAGTACTGTGAGGGGCTCAGCAGAGCTCTCTACCTGTTTAATTGATTTAAAACCATGAGTGAGTAGAGCTTTGGCTGAGATGAGTAAGAATCTGTGTAGGCAGAATGCAGAGGTGCAAAAGTGATCCTTGATTTAATGGGGGGAGAACCACACATTCCAGAGCCAATGGGTGTAAACTGAATTCAAACTGAAAACGAGGCATAAATTTGTAACTGTTCAAGGAAATTTGCATTGGCAGGAATTTTCCATTTTTGATTTCACCAGCTCAAGACCAGATGTCTTTCTAGAAGATGCTTTAATCAAGGAGAAGCTGCCAGGCTCCACAGAGAGCTCTGAGGGGGAAATGCAAACAACCACTCCATGCAATGTGTAGGACCAAATCATTCCAGTAGTCACAGCTTGTAGGATAGAGAACTCAGGTGGGAAGGGACCTCAGGAGGTCTCTGGTCCAGCCTCCTGCTCATGACAGGATTAACTTAACCTCAGACCAGGTTGCTCAGGGCTATGGCCAGCTGGGGCTTGGAAATCTCCAAGGATGGAGATGGTGCAGCCTCTCTGGGTCCTGCTCCACTGCTTGGGCACCCTCATGGGATGAAATTTTCCCTTATATCCAATCCCATTTGACCTTAAAGCTCTTAAACAAATTTGTTGACTACAAGGTTCTCTGCCTTGGCTCTGCCAGGCTTTCCATGGGAATTGTGGGAGCAGTGTGAGCAACACCTCCTGTGGCCATCCCTGCGCATTCCAGACTGAGCTGGAGGGAAAGTGAGACAGACTTTGGCCCCTCATCTCTTATCTAACACTTTCACAGCCCTGGGAGTGTTCCAGGCCAGGTTGGATGGAGCTTGGAGCAGCCTGAGCTGGTGGAAGGTGTCCCTGTCCACAGCAGGGGATGAGACTGGATGATTTTAAGGTTCCTTCCCACCCAAGACTTTCTATGATTCATGTGATTTTAGAAGTCAGATATTAACAGGTTGAACAGGAAAAACTGTGCAGAACACATATGTTTCCCTGTGCTCATCTGCACAGGGAGATGAACCCAGGCACCTCTGAGGACTATTGAATCATCTCCTCCTGTACAGACATCCCAGTCCCAGGATGCAAGGGTAGCAGTATGAGTTCCTATGCTAGGATGCAAGGGAAGAGGTAGGAATGCCCTCCCCAGGATGCAAGGGAAGGTGTAGGAATTCCTACCCCAGGATTCAAGCATAGGGGTAGGAATTCCCATCCCTGGATTCAAGCCCAAGCTGAGGAGCAACTGCAGTTTCGATTCACAGACACTGAATTCATTATCACTTTGGAGTGCAGACAAGTTCTGTGGTTTTTTTTGATCCACCAAGAGGTGCCTATAGCTGATCTATAACCCTTTGTGCTGCCCCTAGCACTGTCATTGCTGCCATCTCTCTCCCACTGCCTACAGCATCTTTGTGGCAGACTTAGACCAAACCCTCTTTAAGGACAATGCATTGCTGTTTGCTTTCTATAAAGAAAGAAGGGAAAGAATAAAGGTATAATGGTATTTCAGACTACAGGCATCAACTGGGAGCTCAACTCTAGCTGGACTCTATAAGATAACAAAGGACTCTCATAGAAAACCAGACAAAGACATGTTGTAGATCAGAGCTGACACTGTTACCCTCCCCAGACATGGCAGGGGCTGTGCAGTGTCACAGCTCCCAGTTAATTCCCAGTCAGAGCTCCAAGAACCAAACTGGTGCCCAGGCCAGCAGACAGTTACCAAATCCAATACTCCTTTAAACCCCTCCAAATCTCAGGTTCTTGATATTTTAACCACATGAGCCTGAAACTCAATAGTCCTCTGCACCCACACCCAGAGCTGGGATGGAATTGGCTTTCCGCAAACTCCTCCTGCTCCTCATGAAGTGTTTACAAGGTGTGATAGTGAAGCAGTGATCACAGAGCAGACACAGACCCAGGGGAGGGAGAGACAGGCTGCCTTTCTGACAGGAGATTCCTTACTTTGAGCAGCTTCATCAGCCCTTCCAGCTGCACCATCAGTTCTCTTCTGCTTTCCTGAAGTGCTGACATCCTCTGCTCCAACTCATCCTTCCTCTGCCTGTTCCAGGGACATGGAAGAAAGAGGCAGAAAATAAACTTCGGCTATTTCAAACCATTTGAGGGAATTCACCTGTGTAATTGTCTCTGGTTTCCATCACTTCCCCCTGCTTCCTGTCTGAAACCCAGAGCAATGCCCAGCACAGTAACCATGAACCTGGAGATAATATTCTGTTCACTTCAGAATCAGAGCTCTGCCCTCAGCCACAGGCAGAGGGAAGCCCTTCTCAAAGCTCTGCATTTTGAGGGGAAAAACCACTTTCTTCTTCCTTTTAATGACTCTCTGAGCACCAGAGCTCGGCATCCTGCAGAGTGCTCAGACAAGCCAGGATGAACTATGGGAGGAAAGACAGAGAAGAAAAAAAAATAAAAAGGAGGACGAAAGGCTGCAGATGTTTGGAGAGGAAAAGCTCTGCCTGTCTGGAGGGAGACTCAGCAGAGCTATTTCTGTGTGCCGACGTGATGGATCACCCGTGACACGTTCACTGCACCAGCACCCAGGTAACAGCAGCAGCACATCACAAGTGACCTTCCCTTTCCTTGGCAGCAGAAAACCTGTCTGGGAGCTATTTAAGGAAATATGACTGTGTGGTTTGGTTTGAGATTTAAAAACAGAAAGGAGTGACTAATAGAAGGAGAAGCTCAAAGCCAAACGTCACTGTCGGAGGCTCCGTGTCTCAGTGATGTAAGACATTCTGGGCCCCACAAATCCCAGTCCTAGGAGATGATACATAACCACAGGGAAAAGCAGATGAGAAAGGCTCATTTATTCATCTACAGTTATTTTTGTGGACACCAGAATGTCTTAATCCAAAGTTAAAACATCACTCATTACAGACTGAATCTATACGTGTCCTTGATGTTCTCACATGACACACAATGGATAAATCATCTCGGGAATTTTAATATGGACCAGTTCTTCAAGGGACAGAGACTGTGAAATATGAACTCCCCTGGGGATTTCTTTCAACAACATCTTGTATGTTGAAGACTGTGATTATTAAATTAAGCAGCATTCCAGGATCTGAAGGGGCTACAAGGAAGCTGAAGAGGGACAGGAACTGGAGTGCCAGGACAAGGGGGAATGGCTTCCCACTGCCAGAGGGCAGGGAGAGATGGAATATTGGAAAGAAATTCTTGGCTGAGAGGGTGGTGATGTATTGGTACAGGTTGACGAGAGAAGCTGTGGCTGCCCCATCACTGGAAGTGTTCCAGGCCAGGTTGGATGAGGTTTGGAGCAACCTGGGCTGGTGGGAGGTGTCCCTGTCCATGGCAGAGGGTGGGACTGGATGGTCTTTAAGGTGCCTTCCAACCCAAACCTTCTGTGATTTGATGTTCCTGTGGTCCTGCAGGCAGGAGAAGCCAAGCACACCTGTACTACCAGGCAGAGATCCGCAAGGACACGGCTCCAGCCATGCCTCCTCCAAGGTCACACCTGCCAGCAGTGCCAGAGCTGACTCATCCCACAGGCTCAGCTGCCTGCAGATTTTTAACTCTGGGACACACTGCTCTCCCATGGATTATCATTCTCCTGCTTTTGCAGCCTGATTCCAGACAGAACTGAGATCATCTGGTGACGTGTCCTTACTGATAACCACAGTCCAGGGCACCACACACTGTGCCTAGGCTGGGGAGTGCCTCCTCTGCAGCTGGGATTTGGGGAAGCACCTTCCTATCCCAGAGAACCTACTAATGGTGACCTCCCAATGCCATGCAGAGCAGCCAATGCAATTAATGTGCTCTGTGAATTCCTTAATGAGTGAGGTTTGGTGGTAGGAAAGGTAATAGGTGTTGTATCTGTCGCACCAGGGAAGCTCTGTGTGAGATACTACAGGCAGTGAATCCCAGAATCATTTTGGATGGAAAAGACCTCCAAGACCATCGAGTCCAACCTGTGACCCATCACCACCTTGACAACTAAACCAGAGCACTGAGTGCCATGTCCACATGTTCCTTGGACACCTCCAGGGATGGTGACTACACCACCTCCCTGGACAGCCCCTTCCAATGCCTGAAAAGAAATTCCTCCTGATGGCCAACCTGAACCTCCCCTGGTGCAGTCTCAGGCTATTTCCTCTTGTCCTATCCCTTGCTCCCTGGGAGCAGAGCCTGACTCTACCTGGCTGCACCTCCTGTCAGGGAGTTGCTAGTGAATTCTAGGCTGAGCCTCCCCAGCTCCCTCAGCCCCTCCTGCTGCTCCAGCCCCTTCCCCAGCTCTGTTCCTTTCCCTGGACATGCTCCAGCCCCTCACTGTCTCTCTTATCATGAGGGTCCCAGAGCTGCCCCCAGGACTGGAGGTGCCTCAGCAGTGCCAGCACAGAGGACAGGCACTGCCCTGGGGCTGTGCCCACACCAGAGCTGCTCAAAG